GAACCGCCTTCCCATGGGGTCCCTGGCAGAGAATTGAGAGTTCACCAACCCACTGTGTCATCTACCCTAGAAAGCGGCATCCTGCCCAGAGGGAGAAGAGGTTGAGGATTTGTAACCACAGTCCTATTTCAGGTAATGAGGATCTTTTAAGCCTCTGGTCTGTGGGAATGTTCAGAAAAAGGGAGCTGGGGGCTATTGCTAGGCAGAACTCACCAGGAGACAGAGCACTTTACATAATGCAGAATACTTCAGAAAATAAGTCTGAGGCTATAAGCCACTGAGGGGCCCCTGTTTGTGCAAATGCCAATGAGCATGAGAAGGAACCAGCTCCTCCTTTAATCTCTGATCTGTATTTCTCAACAGCGGAGAATGCGGAGTGACACTAGGGGCAGGCTTTGCAAGTCATCTAAAAGAAAGGAGGAGGATTTTTAATGCACATTGTTCTGGACAGAAACGTAATCATTTCTGAGTTACGTTTATCAGGCAGGGCAGTTGTAGCTTACCAAGTGGAATTTGTGTGGGTACAGATGATTTAAGAGGGATGAGGGCTTCCTTTTATATCCATGAATAGTTTTCTGTGGCTTCCATAAGTCAGTCAACCCCTTTTCAGTCTTCCAGTATGGGAGGAAATATAACAAAGACCTGATTTTAGGGTCCCTATTTTAGTAGGGTTACTGTCAAATCCCCCAAATTCATTTTTAACCTTAAATTTTATATATATATATATGTATATATAGTTGAGTGTGTTTGCATGAACTAAGAGATATATATATATAAAATTTAATTTTAATGCTGATAATAGGAGCAGCTACTATTTATTGAATCCATTAACCTGGTAAACAGTTGACAGGTGTCTCACACGTAGGCACAATTCCGGGTGCTAGAAAGGTAGTGGCAATCAAGACAAAGTCCTGCTTAAAGTCTAGAGGGAGATGGACATAAACATAAGTAACAGTGCTGATCGCTATTTTGAGACTAGACTCAAAACAGGTTAATGCTATGGGGGTGACTTGAGACTGAGTGCTCGGGGAAAGCCTTTCCATAGGTGATATTTAAGCTATGACTCAACTAATGGCAAGCAGAACTCTATCAGATGCTGGGAAAGGTCCCAGTAGGCCTCTGGAACAGCATGGAGGCTGGAATGAGGAAGGGAGAGTTACAAGAAGGGGCTGGGAAGGCATCTGGAAATCAAGGTAAAGAGTGGGGTCTTCCCCCAGCGCAGGGGGAGAACAGGCTAGGGGTCGAGAGACAGAGGGGATGGCAGAGGGCGTTATTCAGGTGGGGAACCCTAGGACAGACACTGGTGAGTGTGCTCATGGTAGAGACACAACCAGTTTTATTTTTGACTATTTTAACTTTGAGATACATAATAGACATCTCAGTTGAAATGCCTGTGGCTGTCATGTGCCAGGCAGTTACACATATGCTTTCTAATCTTTACAACAACCCCGCCTATAGGTATCATTATCATCATCTTATAGATGAGAAAGATTAATTTGCCTGATGATATTCAGCACTACTGGCACAAGATATTAGCACCTTCTGTTAGAATGTGATTGGTTATCTGGGGCAACATAGCAAGACCCCATCTCTAAAAAAAAAAAAAATTAGGCAAGGGGCCACATGCCTATAGTCCGACCTACTTGGGAGTCTGAAGAGGGAGGATTGCTTGAGCCTGGGAGTTCTACGCTGCAGTGAACTATGACTGCACCACTGTACTCCAGCCTGGGTGACAGAGCAAGACACCAATTCTTAAAAAAAAAAAAAAAGAAAGTTGTTGCCACACAGAGACTCAAATTAGTGACATTCCCACATCAATGGACTGTTGGATGCTGTGGGTAGAGGAAGGCTTGCTGAAAGAAAAAGTTGCAGAAGCATTTTCTAGTACCTTAAAAAAGAGAGAGAGAGATGTGTTTTAACAACAAAACCATCAACCAGATGGCGTTCACTTGGCAGTGAGTACTGCTAGGGAATTCAAAAGGACAGAGGAAAGGTTGGAATGCTCAGGTGCAACGGATGGAGTACACAGGGTGACGCAAGTAGACTTCTTCATATTCTGATGGAAAATAAAGTGACCTCTGGATTTTAAAGTGACTGGTAAGAGGAAGCGTTGTTAGAGTCTTGGGGTGCAGGGTCATGCTGAGACTTTGAACACGATGTACAGAGAAGCCCAGCCCCAGCTCACAAGCTGTCTCAGATTCAAAGAGTTTGCAGTTATGACAGCCACAAGCACAGGGGGAAGTGTCTTTCAAGAAAAACAACATCAGTGATAACTTAGAAATGGGGGGAGGGATTGGATCATTCAGGGCTCAGTGTCTGCTTTGCTCTAGAAATGGCTCAGAAGGAGCAACCTCAGCTGGAAAATGGCTAAAACACCAGCTCCAAATGTGGGATTTTCCTTGTCTTTCTCAAAAGCCCTCCTTTTCTTGTGTGTGTCAACCGAAGTATTTTGTTTTGCTCAATACACTTTTTCAGTAATGCTTCTGCTTAAAATAAACATAATTAAAGAAATCATTTTCCTGAGAGGAGCATGCTGCTTTCTGTAAGAGGAAATTGGGTGTGGGTTTGGCTCATGTCACAAATGAAGGAGGTTTGGAAATCACAGCCTAGCCTTAATGGATTGTAATCAGAAAACCACCACCCACACACAGCTTTACTTGATATGCTTCAACTGCCTCTCCTCCTATAAAAGATGAAAACTAATTACTCTCTTCATCAAGATAAGGTGAACTAGAACAGGAAGACTTGAATTAGTGCCGGGGCTGTGGTGGGACCCACCTTCCTTGTGGAGTAAACATAAAGCACTCAGTGGACTAATTCAAAGACCTCACCTTCCTTCAAGATAAGTATTCCACTCATCTCCTCTGCCTCAAGCTCCTAAAGCACTCTATTTTTATTGGGTCTGTCATCTATGACAACGAATCTGGACTGTGTGCCCCTAGATATAGGACAGTCTGTTTTCAAAGTCCTCTGCTGGTGTCTGGCCAGGGAGAAAGACAACACAAAGGGATTATAGTCCATGGTGAATGTTACTTAGTGCAAGGCAGGAGAACACTTAATTCAGCCTTGAGAGGTCAGGGAAGGCTTCCTGGAAGAATTTGTAAACTGAGATCTAAAATTGGTCTCTGAGTTTCAATCCATTCACACAAACCATGTGTTTTTGACTTCTTTTAACCGTATCTTCCCATTTTCCTGCCGAACCCTGCACAATCTCTGTACATATTTGGTTTAATCACATTGGAAAGAAACGTCCACTTCTTTTCTGTTCATCGATTACTTGCTAGTCTATGAACATAGAAAATTCTGAAAATCTAGGTGGCATATCTGTAGACATGGCTCTCCAGAGCACGGCAGCTTCCTGACAACATGGGGCCGAAATCCCACTGCAGAGGCAACTCCACAGAATGTCCAGGTGTGGCAGGGCATCATTACTTCCTTCCTTACTCAGAAAATGGAGAAGGGCACATGTGCAGTACTGTGTGTGAGAACAGCTGGAGGAAACCCTCATCCAGTGGCACCTGGCTCTGATTAGAGGGCTGTATTAGGTGGGGCAAGGTTCATTAATGTCTTCCTGATGACTCGTTGAAAATGTATGTATTTTTACATTCTCTTGAAACTTCTATCAAATATCCTACGACATACAGACGGGAGGAGAATCGCAATTATTTCCACCTCTGTCCATTGTTCAGAAATGCTCTTGTCCACGGCACACCTCCATCACTTTGCTAACAAAACTAAGGCAATTCCAGCTAAATGGTATCTGAATGGAATGGAGACAAAAATCCTCAAGCTGGAGCTGACTCTGTCAGGAAATTCCCTGTGGAATGGAGTTCATCGGTTTCGGCTTGCTTTCTCTGACTGCCCAGTGGGCACCTTCCCACCCCAGCCCCCAAACCCATTGTCACTCACCATCCACGCATGGCCTTGCAAAGGATAAAGAGCCCTAGCTCCAGTGAACCTTGGTGCTGGGTTTGGGAGGTCTTCCCTCGCCAGTACAATAGGCTCCTCTCTGATGGGGCCCACGGTAGCGCGTCTGCTCCATGGCCGGCTCTATTTGTGCTTTCAGGGTTATGTGGTTATGTAGACTGGGGGCTAGCTGGGGAAGCAAAGCCAAACCCAGAGCTTCATGGTCACAGATTTCAAAGCCTTTCTTTTGAGGGGCAACACAAAGGAGCTTGTGAAACAGATCAGCCTCAACAGTGCAATAGACTTCTATGGTGCTGCAGATAAAGGGAAGAGGATGTGGGGCCAGTTTATCAACTGCACAGGCGACAAAAGGGAAGATTAAAAGTCCCCTGAAAATAGGAAATAGAGTGGGCAATAACTGCTTGCCCTTGAAGAATTCTTTGCTAGTAGCTTAGGAATAATGGAGAGGCTCAGGGGGCGGGAGGGAGCTGGATTCCCTCCTCTCCCTCACCTCATTGTGTGCTGCCGCCCTCCAGGCAGAGTCATGGGGAGGTTTCACTTAGAGAGGAAGATGGGAGTAAAGGAAGCAAAAAGCTCTGACTCTGAAAACAGTGCTCCCCTTTTTCTCTTCTTGCCATTTCCTTGGAAGGACATGTCAAGCACCTGTGAATCTTCTCTGAAATTCAAATGCTTCCTACTCCCTTAGCTCATGTTGGAAGGTCTTTCCATCCTTATCACTTAAATATTAATTCATTGAAGAATACTAGTTACATGTGCATTCTGCTCCAGGCACACGTCAACCAGAGGCTGGCCTACCACACCGTCATCTATCATTCATTCAGGAAGGCACTGGCCCAGCTCCCTCAAAGCTTGTGATCAATTATGGTCAACACAGCACAACTGACAAGACCTCAGCGCCCTTGGTACCAGTTTGCCTCCAATTATACCACCAATATGGGGGCTTGCAACATAATTTCTAGCATGTTCTTTCATAGTTCTCTCTTTTTTTTTTGGTCTTTCAAGAGAATATAGTGTTCTAAATATTGTTTCTTTGCTAATGTTCCCATGAAAATGTTCCTTATTTTGTCTTTAAAAACATCATTTAGCTTAATCTGGAACTCCAAGGCTACTATAACTTAATCTGGAGTGCTAAGGCTAGTTATGGTAAAATCTTATACAAAGTGAACACAGACACAGATACTCATTTACAAGCTTGGTTTCAAACTGAGGCAGTATTATAAAGGAAATCGTTAAGTGCGTGGGTTAAACAGTACCTGGTACTTAGTAAGCCTTCCATAAATATTTGTTGAATGAGTGAGTGAATAAATTCACTCTGACTCTACTTTCTCATCCAGGAATAAGAGAGGTAAATAAAGTGAAACAGCGCTGAACATTTTGTAGTTTACCAGCTGAGGGTAAAAATCTCATTCTCTTTTTGTTACTAAAACCATCCATCTGCCCAATGTCACTTCCTGATAAGAGCCCATTTCTAAGTCCTCATTTGTAACTAAATGTTGGGTGACATAATTAATGCTTAACACACATTTGAATTACAAGCCACAGGCAACTGCAAATCCACTCTACAAGATGGTCATTACGGAGGCCCAATCCATACACTTCCAAAACATGGGATTTATTCAAATTTAGGAAAATGAGGCAAAAGAATATGAACCTTTCTAAGATACGGGAGTGATGAAAAGAGGGGGCCTTGGCAAGAAGGAGGGGGAGGGGATTTAACTTAAAGCCTCTGAGATACACTAATAGTCTCTGGAGATAAACACTGCTGAGAGGCCTAATGCGTATGGCTCCAGGGCACTTATCTGCAGTCCCCTCCCTCTGCTACCTCCTCAGAGTGGACTCGTTCACCGGGGCTCCAGCAGGTCACTTCTGTCATTGCCATTCCCTGTGTGCAGAATCAAACCAAGTACTGCAGTTCCTGTGACAACAAGCTGGCTAGACCAGGGGTCAGAAAGCAACCCTCTCATTCTGCCTTTCCTGAATTTTAGCTAGGAAGCATTTTTAATGTTTTCTGCTGTTAGCAGAATACTGAAAAAGAATTAAGACAAGGTAATAAGGCAGGTGAGAGGAAAAGGCCTAACTCTGAGGCTCAGAGGAAAATGGACACAAGTAAAATCCCATTGTAATGATTACCTTTATAGACAGAAGGGCTTTGTAAAATGAAGTTATTTCCTGTGCACAGAAGCAGCGGGACTGCAGAGACCTGATTTCCCTGACAGAATGACCACAAGGAGCGTTCTCTGGGCTGGACCCGTGCTTTGCAGCACAGCACTCTCTGTAGCAAGCACTGGACTGAAAGCTGTTGGCACTGTGATGGGGAGAAAAGCTGAGCTGCTTACAGTTCATTGTGCAGTTATAAAATAGCAAACATTAAGAACAATTCACGTTTGCTTAGCTTTTACAATGGCTGTCTGCTCATCTGTGTCATTTTCTTCACCCCGCCATCTTACCTCACTCACCCCATGCTGGATTCCCGAAGCAGGCAGGTCAAACACCTGCAGGGGACCCACACCTCTCACCGGGCATCTAGAACAATTAGAAGTTCTTTTACACTGTCTGATTTTTTAAAAACTCAAAGTAGTTGTGGGGGAAAAAAATAAATCAGAATCCCACGGAACATCCTTAGAGTTATTTTATATTTTATGTCTTTGCAGGAAGAGAGATGGCATCACAATCTCTTCGGTGCTCAAGGCCCCTTGGAATTCTTAATGTGACCTCGTAGCCACCACAAAAACCACAAAATGATCCAGACACCACAAAGGGGAAAAGGTACTTCCCGACATGCTGCATTTCCTTGCTTGGGGGAGTACTGTGACCCACGGGCTGCCTCGAATGCACAGTGTTTTCTGAATCTACCAATCTTTAAATATCTCTCCTCCAAACTAGATGGTTAGTTGGGCCTTCAATACATGAGGCTGCAGGATTTCCATTTCAAATCTTGGCCCAGCTGCTTCCTCTCCATCTTGACTACCATCTACTGAGCCCCAGGAAGGGCTTTTGCAAAAGTATCCACAGTCAAGGTGACTGGGTGACTAAAGCTTGGTGCTGGGTGTTTGATGTCCTGGCTCATAAGGGAGTATGTTCAGCGCAACCTGCCTCCCTCCCTTCAAACATGTATCCTTCATCCATTTACCCGCTTGGAGGGTCACTGGTGGTAACAAGCTGTTTCTTCAAAGGATGATCAGATTGACGCTTCACTACTCAAGAGGCAAAATGTTAAATTAACTAGGTAGGGCAAAGAGAGTGTGTGTGTGGGGGGGCAGGTCTAGGGTAGGTGGAGCTCTAGTACAGAGAGAAGGAAGTGGAGGAGAGGAAGTAGGAGGTGAGAGGAGGCACACAGGCTTGGAAGGACAATAAAGGCAGGCTTCTGCAATTTACTGACTTTCCAATACCTCGGAGAACCTGCAGCACACTGTTAAATGATCCTAAAAGTATGGCCCTGCCTCAAGCTCCAGTGGGTCTTTCTCACCACTGAATGAAGTATGACTTCCTCTATAGGTGGCTCATCCTTGCGCGTGTCCCCACCCCACTGTGCACTGGCTTTCAGGCCTGTAAGCCTTTGTACAGGCTCTTCCCTCTTCCTGGAAAGCATACTTCCTCCTCAAGTAAACTGGTCATGACTTAATTCTGTAGTCTTTCTTCACCAAAGTCATCTGGGACCAGTTTGGGATAAGTTAAGAGAGCCCACAGTCCTCTGAAGATACCCTGCTAAAGCTCTTAGATCACTCAGTCATTTGATTACCTGCCTGCCTCTCCCCAAAGACCCTGAGTATTGATTTCCTGAGGACACTCACTGGATTTTAGTGATGTTTGTGTCTCTCAATGCCTGGCAAACAGTAGGCCCCCAGTTGACACTTGCATGATGAAGCGATTACGGGGACCAGTTTATAAAGGTGGCTATCCAAAGTGATCCATCTTTAGGGGCTCAAAGATTAAGTGCTTGGCAATACCACAGAAGAAGGGAAGCCTTTTTGACCATTTTTTTTCTCAGAAGGGCTCTTTATAACTACACACGTCCCCTAAGACAAGAACCCAGATGAGAGATATCCCCTCTGTGAATAATATAAATGATACCATTAGTACATCTCAAATAATACCATCTGCCCATGCCCTAATCTCTAGGTATTTTCAAGATATTCTAATGGCTAGAGCTCTTTCTGGTTCTATCTTTGCAAACTGGTGGTTCTTAACGTGTGGTCCCTGGACCAGGGGCATCGGCAGCAACCAGAAATTTGTTAGAAATAAAAATTCTCAGACCCCATACCAGCCCACTGAATTCAGAAGTTCCAGGGGCAGGGTCCGGGAATTTCTGCGTTAGCAAGCTCTCCAGGTAATTATCGTGTGCACTGAAGTTTGCGAACCACTGTTTTAGACTTTAGTGAGACCACAGGTACAGTCTCATTATTTGAAGTACATATTCATGTGAGGATGATGAAATATAGATTCATAAGGACATCAATCTTTCCACCTAGGCAGTATGGTCTAAGTGAACATTCTGCAATAATGGAAATGTTTTACATCTGTGCTGTGGATAGTGTAGCTACTAGGTACATGTGCCTTTGGGCATTTGAACTATGGCTAATGGGACTGGGTAAGTGAATTTTAAAGTTTAGTATAAATTTAAATTTAAATAGCCACTTGAGCCTAGTGGCTATCATACAAGACAGTACAGCTCTAGAAGATGACTAAGCAATATAAAACCATATTCAACCCAGTTCCTAAAATCCCAGCAATAAAAATCTTTTAAAAAATACATTCTCTTAGATTCTGTCACCTGCAAAATGGAAGGTACCTATATTCACTGATTTGTTCATTCAATTACGTATTTGCTGCTTATCTCAAGTTGGTTCTATCAAATTAATGTTTGGAAACTTTTTTGAAGTAGTTTAAAGCATTATGTAAAGTAGCAGTATTCTTTCTGTATAATCTTGACAAGGCTTTACGCCTATGGTTTGATCTGCAATTAATTAGGATTCTGGGGGCAGTAAGTCATGCTGTTACTGTGTGCCCCACAATGTATCTTTAAGATTTAAAGTAAAAGGATATACTGTAATAGACGCCAACCTCAAAAACTGCCCAGGGAACTTCTCTTTGTAGTTATACACGTCTTTCAGGCTGCTCTGTTTTATACCAGGTTCTACTGAGGTAGATAAGGGGTCTCGTTTTCCAAGACAAATATGTACTTTCATTCTGCTACCTAAACAAGGGATGAGCTGCCTTTAGCTGTCCATCATTAATGAGTTTGTATACAAATGATTCAATCTGTATTATAGAAAGACTATAATCAACATTAAAAACATTTATTTTAAATATGACTATTAGCAGTTTAGCCAAATCCAGACTATCCCTAAACAAATGAGGGCTCTTGCCTGAATGTGCACTCCTAAGTGAGGACTTTTGAAAAGTTCTTTTTCTCTAGCCTCTGGGGAGGCAACTCCAGCCTGCACATGCTGAGGCTGTCTCTTCAGGAAAGAAACTGCCTGGAAGTGTGACAAGGGCCTCTAGCCCTCAGCAAGAACCTGGGCCCTAGGACAACACTGCACAACAGTGGTGACCAAGTTCTCCATGGCTGGGGACTGAACTGCCCATACCAGTCTCCTGTGCTACCCGTCCCTAAGGCTGTAATCCTTGGCTCTGACTCTGGCCCTGTCTGGGTCTTCCCAGATACAGAAGGTTCTTGTTGCTTTGTGCCAGGTTTGAGGAAGTTGAATAGGGTTCAGGCACTCCTGCCAGAAATGGGGTGTCTCCATCAAATAGGCAGGTGACTCGGTGCAGGAACCCAAGTGCTGAAGTGGGGCTGCACCCTTGAGGACGGGGATACTCCCTATGCACAGCTTAGGCAGTTCTGCACTGTCTTTCATGGTCTCCACCTCAAATGTCTGCACAATCACTATAAAGGTTTGAGGGAATTAAGAGGGAAGAGGATACTTGCGTTAAGCGGGAGAGGGAGTTGGGGTCAAGTCAGATGAGCTCCAGGTGGAACTAAGGAAGAGGAACATGACTGGGAGCGGGAGGGCTGGTGGTGTGCAGGTGTGCTCTGTGAAGGTCAACTATAAACCAGGGTGAACACGCAGATGTCATCTACCCTAGGGATGCCAAGCCCCGGCTTTAAACCCTCGCTTCTCTTTCCCAATCCAAACCTCACAAAAAGACCCCAGCACTCTTTCCCATCAGGCCTGCAGGCGCCTCAGTCTTCAAAATAACAGCCAGAGGACAAGGCTGCATTGCTCAGTTTACAAACCAAACAAAATCTTCCAGTTCCTGATCTGTGCCAGTCCCTCCACTGTATGAAGGAGGACTCCTGATTGATAACAACAGCATACGGGTCCCAAATTGAGCCCTCGCCATGGTCCAGCACTTTACAAATAACAACTTGTTTCATCCTCACAATGACTCCAGGAGGGGAGAAGACTATTAGCCCCACGTGGGAGATGAGGAGACAGTGGCAGAAAGAGGCTGAGTTCAGCTGCGAAGGATGCACAGCTCACGAGTGGTGGGGTCGGGCTCCCAATCCAGGCAGCGCTGCTGGCGTCCTTGCTCACCACCGCTTTGCTGACACTGCCTCCCACGTGGGTGGGGCTCTGGTTTTAGGTTTATCAGAGAACACACAAGCACATATGCTTTAGAATATGATATTTGTAGATTCATTAAAATCCGACCTTTACAGGATATTAAAACCATTCTAAGAGACAATCATGGTAAAGGTGTAATCGCATTTGTAAGCCTGCCAAATTGGAGTGTAAGAGCTTTTATGAAAAGTTTCAGAAATGTGGCTTACAGGGTAACAGTTTATGGTCAACTGCCTTTTGATCTCTCATGTGAAAAATATGTACTTACATATATTGCAGGAAACCTTACCACTTCCTTCCTAAGTGTCGGTCAAAAACACTAATTACTTGACTAATTAGACTGTGAAACTTCCCTTACAGATGGTAAAAATGAGCTATTTTCACCCCACAAATTTAGTTGTGACATACCACCAAAAAAAATGTAGAAATCTTTCAATGGTTTTATTGTAGACAGTATGAACAATTTAAGCAAATCATATAAACATAAATGAGAAACTAATGAAAATAATCTGCCCTTTCATAAGAGGAGAACACAAGAGGCTGGCTCGTGAGATGACACCCCTTTGATGGGCGACTGGAGGTCGGATCCAGATACCTTCTCCCCGCCCCATGAATTGGTTAGTCCTAGCTTGGTTTGTGACTTTCATCGTGGCTTCAAGTACTTTCTTTATCCACCTGTAGTCACAGGCAGGCAGCACTCTTTCTTTTGTTTTCTCCCAGTCATTCCCTACAAGGGAAAGTGTATGTCATGTCCACCCACCAGCCACGATGACATGGTCTCCCTTGACTCTGCGTCCACAGAATTTCAGTCTGCGGCATCAGCACATTTGCCAAAAGAATTAGTGTGGGATGAAGTGGAACCGAACCAAGTTCGACAGCTCGGGGAGGAAATGCCTCCTTGACCAGAGCGTGCTCATGTGAGACTCCACACTGCGGAACACTTACCAGCATCGAGGCTGCCCGTGGCCGCTGTCCAGCCCATGACAGGCGGGATGGCCCCAACCACGGCTCCGACCCATGTGTTGACAATGCTGATCCTCTTCAGTGGTGTGTAGCAGCAGGTATACAGAAAAATATTGAAGAGCCCCAGGGCTCCTGTGAGTGGATTCACCCCCCAGGTCAGAATGGCAACTCCCGGAACAGCACAACAAGTGGCAAAGGACACAGCTAGCAATGGGCTGGAAAAGAGCAGAGAACATGGAGTGATCATCTCCGACGCAACTCAATCACACTACCTAGAATCGGCACTGACAAAGTGCAAATAATCCCCCCATCCAGTAGAGGCAGTACTGATCTGGCGTATTCCTGGATATGGGGAATCCTCTTTATGAAACAAACTTACAATAAGACAGAATATGTTTGTGGGAGCTCTGGCTACTTTTCTTGATTTTGCTGGCTAAGAGTAAAGTGGTTAAGAGAGTCAGGGTTAGAGTGTTCTGGATTCATATAGGTTCTGTCCCTTCCTGGCTATAAGATAGCTAGGTTTCACTTACTCCTGTCTACAAGAGAAACGATCCTCTCTTCCTCCTAGGGTTGAAGTGAAGCCTGACTGAGACAATGCCTCCTCTGCAGAGTGTTCCATTTTATATTTAGTCATGAGCAAACCACTTCAAACACAATATTGGAAGATTTGAGCAGAAAATAGAACCTGAATTCTGGAAGCAGTTCTCCCCCTGTATTTATACTTTATTATAACATCACTTAATTAGTGATCATGAGTAACAATGGTGTGCCCCTGACTGCCATCATTACAATGTCTGTAATGAATTACAGGCTCAGCATTACCGGTTCCTGATAACAGTAAACACCAGGTGGCCGTTGTGTAGTACTGGTGCCATAATGTGACTTATGGACACGGGATTTTCAAGGGGAGGTCGCACAATGTTATTTATGTAAATGAAACCCATCATCTAAAACTCTACAACGATAATGATTATTATAAGCCTGCTTCTCAAAAGAGCCAACTTCTAAAAGTAGACTTTGTATGGAATCTTGTGAAAGGCTTTTTGAGAGTCTAGATAAATTGGATCTACTAGTTCCTGCTTATATGCATGTTTATTTATTCTTTCTTGAGAAACCTAAGGAGGTTACTCAAGCCTGCCTTCTCCTAGCAGAAGCCATGATTCCACTTCTGAATAAGGTATGTTTGTGTAGTGTTCAGTGACCCTGCTGGATTACAGATTCCACAACGTGCTTCTTGGCAAGCAAGAGTCACCAGTGTGCAGCTTCTAGGGTGCTCTGGTTTTAAAAACAGCCAATTCCCTAAAGAGGCAGTCTTTACCCTACGTGCACACATGTGAGATGATACCCTTCTATGCACAGGCCTGCAGTGTTCCCAGGGCAGGAGAGAAGGCCTGGATCTATGAGACGGCCCCTCCAGGAAAAAGACTAACTTGTAGAATTATGACGAGTTAGAATTCAGCTGGGAGGGAGTCACGGGAGAGCCCAGCAGCTGGAACTACAGTACTGAATGAAGTCAGGGCAACAAAATATGAAAGCTAGAAGTGACTTGATGGAGAATTCTGGCCACCACTCTACCACTCTGCTATGGGGGCCAGGCCTGACTCTTTCCTACCAGGTCGGCAGCCACTGTGCCCAAAGAGTGAACCAACAGAATGGGAATTTTCATGGAAAAATGAGAAAATACAAGGGCTATGTTGCTGTCAAGGTGCTTGTGACAGAAGAACCACAAATTACAGCTGAGAGACTTCCGAGTGCATGTTCTGCCCTGACGGGGCATTTCCACCCACCTGTTCCTGGGCCATCTCTTCTGAACCCTGTGGTCCGTTACTTCCACAACACTCACTCAGGTACCCTCAATAATCCACTCTGCCTTTTCCATCCAACATTCCCACCCTGGATCTGCTCAATAACCTACTGTCTCTGCTCCTGCTGGGAAAGCCCAGCACTCATACTAACTGGCCCCATTTCAAGGTGATGGCTTAACAGTGCGGGTACTTAGCCAGGGCTGATTTCCATTTTCATTCCTTATAGTGGCTATTTTAACTCCTCTCCTGCCTTCTCAAGGCTCCAGGTTCACTCTAGCTCCCAAGACGCCTTAACAGATGCCCTTCCCTCTTATACAACAGTGACAAATGCCCTCAAATTTACTTCCTTTCTCCCATTTCAGAAGAGGCTGTCTTCACTCCTTTCAAAGATTAAACTGTTTTTATTTAATCTCCTCCCTAAGCTGTCTTTTACCTTTTATCTCTACTGTCTATTAACCTCCAGCATCAAATAAATTATTTTCTTCATATTTCCCCCAAGGTAATACCCCTCTTGCTTCAACACTCTTCAAAGCCAAGCATCCTGATGGAGTGGACCACATGCATTCCTTGTCTCTACCTCTTCCATCCCTCAGTTTCCTATTTGTTCCTCAACTGTATCCCTCACCAACTGCTGAAACACATTTTTCTAAGGTGGAGATAAACAAGGGGACTTCAAAAAGTTCAAGGAAAATGCATATTATGAAAAGACTATGACTGGATTTCAAAAATTTTTTGCACCAAAATAAACTCATACTAACTTGTTATAACATGTCTGAACAGGATCTAGTTTGAGGCACTAAGAAGGATAAGACATCAGTTTGAAAAGAGCCCTTATCAAAGCAACATGAATTCTGCTAAAACAGAAGCAAGAACAAATATCAAATTTATGCTAACGTTTGGATGGAAGAACAGTGAAATCATTGATTCTTTATAAGAAGTTTATGGGGACAATGCCCCCGCAGATCAGCAGTTTACAAATGGATAACTTGTTTAAGAACAGATGATGCTGAAGATTAAAGTCCACAGCTGCAAACCATCCACATCAATTTGTGAGGAAAAAATGAATCTTTGTCATGCCCTAATTTAAGTGGACCAACGGTTAACAGTAGAAACAACAACCAATACCATAGACATGTCAATTGGTATAGGTCACACAATTCTGATGGAAAAATTAAAGTTGAGCTAACTTTCCACTCAGTGGGTGCCAAAACCGTTGCACCCAGATTGGCTGCAGACAAGAGCAGGGCTTTCAATGGAAATTTTAAACAAATGGGATCAAGATCCTGAAGCATTTCTTCAGGGAAAAAAAAAAAGAAGAGCCGGGCGCGGTGGCTCACGCCTGTAATCCCAGCATTTTGGGAGGCCGAGGCGGGCGGATCATGAGGTCAGGAGATCGAGACCATCCTGGCTAACACGGTGAAACCCTGTCTCTACTAAAAATGCAAAAAATTAGCCAGGCGTGGCGGCGGGTGCCTGTAGTCCCAGCTACTTGGGAGACTGAGGCAGGAGAATGGCATGAGCCCGGGAGGCGGAGCTTGCAGTGAGCCGAGATCGCACCACTGCACTCCAGCCTGGGCGACAGAGCAAGACTCCGTCTCAAACAAAAAAAAAAAAAAAAAAAAAGAATATATAACAGGAGGTGAAACATGGCTTTACCACTACAATCATGAACACAAAGACAATCAAAGCAATGGCTACCAAGAGGTGCCAGTGGTCCAGTCAAAGAAAAAGCAGAGAGATCAAGAGCAAAGCTCATGGCCATAGTGTTTTGGGATGCTGAAAGCATTTTGCTTGATTCCTTTCCAGAGGGCTAAAGAGCAAGAACATCTACTTATTATGAGAGTGTTTTGAAAAAAATTAGCAAGGCTTTAGCAGAAAAATGACTGGGAAGGCTTCCCCAGAGAGTCCTTCTCCACCACAACAATGTTCCTGCTCATTCCTCTCATCAAACACGGGCAACCTTGTGAGCATTTGGATGGGAAATCATTAAGCATCCACTTCACCATCCTGATTTGGCTCCTTCTGCCTTCTTTTTGTTTCCTAATCTTAAAAAGTCTTTAAAGGGAATCCATTTCTCTTCAGTTAATAATGTAAAAAAGAAAGCTTTGATATGGTTAAATTCCCAGGACTCTGTGAGTTCTTTACAGATAGACTAAATGGCTGGTATCATTGCTTACGAAAGTGTCTTGACCTTGATGGAGATTAGGTTGAGAAATGTTTTTTTTTTCTTTTTAATTTTAATCTTTTAATTCTATTTTTTTCCATAAACTTTCTGAAGTTCCCTCATACATCATATTACCTGGGACCATCTACCTTCCCAACATGGCACACAATATTGATTTCCAGATGAAAGATTACAAAGATACCTGTGTGTTGTTACGTCTCCCATATACCCAGAAAGGAAACTGAAATGGCTACAAAGCATTACACATATTATAATGTTGTTCTTCTTCCAATAAGGTAATTTATAGCTTATAAGAACAGATTTTTTTTTTTTTTTTCCTATGAGACTCTAAAAAACTAGCTTTATTTTGGGAGAGAGAAAAATGTGGTGGCTGATAAACATTTTATTTTTCGTGAATTGGCCCTTGTGTTAAAAAAAAAAAAAAAAAAAAATTGAAGAAGGTTGTTTATTCCTTCTCCAAGTTCTGTGGAGGCCAATTGGATTCAAAGGTATTAGTGTTATGAAAAGCCCTTTTAGAAAAGCACATATGAATTTAATTTATTGAGATAGGCCATTTTATGTAAAGTTTAGTTTCTGACCTTTGTTAAAATCACAGAAAATGAGGTGGCTCAATTTTGGTATTTATATCAATGTGCACAAGGCCATGAATGAGAACTGGGTAGGTTGACGGGCCATGCAAACGAAAATGAAGCTCTTTACCCAGGATGCCATGATTACTCTCAGCATCCAGGTACCTGAAGGAAGCCATCCCTCCTGGCATGAGGAGCCCTGAATCGGTGCACTTCAGAGCTTTCTTGTGTTATGGGCAAAGGTATTCCCATTGCAAACTGTGTGAAATTTATTTTTCCTCTTATGTTTCATTTTTCCTAAAACATTTATAACAAAAGTGATATACATCCAATTCAGAAAATTGGCAACTCTAGAAAAGCACAAAGAAGAAATTCTTAATGAGTTATTCAGGGAAACATACTAGTTGATATCTTCCCAGCCTTTTTCCAATGATATAACTACTTAAAAAAATTGAGAATATGCTAAATTGCGGTTTTATTCCCTGATTCATTTCAATATATCTTAATAATTTCCCCAGGCTATTACATATATATTTTAATCGTCATCATTCATATTTATAACACATAGTGGCTTATTCTTTGGATACACCACAATTAATTCAACCAATATACTTTTTTTTTTAGACGTTCAGTCTTTTTCCATTTTTAAAAATCAA